GGGGGGGCGGGGCGCTGGGGGTTGCGATCCGTTGCCGGTCACGAAAAAAGACAAAAAGGAAAAAAAAAAAAAAAAAAAGGTAGGATTCTGACTTAGGTATATATAACAGGAGATCTCCTATACTATGATATTATGCCTATTTATATTTTTATACCTTTTGTATTTACATATCATATATTTTCTGATATGTCATAATTCGTGAAAAGCAAGAATCTGAACTATGCATACAATAGAAGATTGCTATAGAAATAATAATTATGGGCTGACTAGTGAGCTCAGTTGGTTAGAGTATGGTGTTATAACACCAAGGTCAAGAGTTTGGATCCCCATACCGGCCAGCTGCCAAATATATGTATATGTGTGTATATATATATTTTTTTCTATACAAATATGAAAGTGTATTTATATAGTATAAATTATATGATACATATTTCATGAGTAATATGGTATATATTTGCACATTTGCAAATATACAAAAATATGTTACAAATAAACACTTATTGATTAAATATATTAAATATATTATAAGGAAATTAATGTGTAATATAATTATGTATACTATTGATTGATATAATCTAGTTATAGTGCATTAATCTATTATATCATTATAATGACAAATGAAACATTTATATTTGTTATATTTGTGGTATATTCTTTTGTATAAATAATACATTTATATATAATTTGTCATATGTAATATATACTTTAAATAATGTTATATATGTACATATTTGTAATTATAGATCATAAAATACATGGCATTCGATACAGTTATATGTATTAATTTTATAATGTTTATATATAAATATTTCAATATACTTTGTTATGTACTATATGCTATGTATTATATGTAGTATATTTCATAATAAAATAATTCTAATGAAATTCCATGCTATGAATAATATAAAATATAAATATCTATTTAAATATATTAATAATATAAACACATAAATAAGGATCAGAGGGCAGGTTGCAAAATATTAACAGTTGTTATCTCCAAGCATCTTTCTGTTTTCTTTTTTATACTTTCTTATATTTACCAAATTTTCTACAAACTGTTTTGCATTTACAATTAGAAAAATGAAAGTTAAAAGTTTTATGTGTGTGTTTTTAACATCAAGAGTTCCTGATGTTCTATAATACAGTATTTACCATCTCTTACCTGTGCCCTTCAGAAACCCCAGACTTTGTGATAGACTGGCACCTGCTGGCCTTGCCCATCTCATCTCCTTCCTCTGTCCCTCTACCTCACTGCACTCAACCACTCTGGCTGGCTTCCTTCTGTTCTTGGAAACCCCTAAGCTCATTCTGCCTCAGGGCCTTTGCACTTGCTCTTCCCTGTGTCTGGAATGCACCTCCCTTCAAGTTTACTATGTCCTGCTCCCTTACTTTATTAAGGTTTCTGCTCAGATGTCACCTTCTCCAAGAGGCCTTCCCAACCTAAAATAGCCCTTCCCCACTCCTTCACTCTGTTTCCTACTCTTACTCTAGTTTCTTCATAGCATAGGAAGTATACATTTTTGTTTATTAGAATATCATTTCTTCTCCACCACTAGAATCAAAGTACTATGAGGGTAGGAACCTTATCGTGGTCATCATTGTACCCCCAGCACCTAACACACTGCCTGGCACATAGTAAATGTCTCATAAATGTTTTCATAAATTGTACATACTAACTTATTTTTGGTTAAGTTACATACATCTTTTCATATAATTTTATTATTTTTAATAAATGTGACATTAGGGCTGGCCCGGTGGCGCACTGGAGAGTGCACCGCTTGGGAGTGCGGCAGCGCTCCCGCTGAGGGTTCGGATCCCATGTGGAGACCGGTTCCCGCTCACTGGCTGAGCGCGGTGTGGGCGCAACACCGAGGGTTGCGAGCCCATTGCCGGTCCCCGGTACAGGCGCGACACCGAGGGTTGCGATCCCGTTACCGGTCAGTAAAAAAGACAAAAAGGAAAAAAAAATGTGACATTAAATGTAAAATTAATTATTTTATGCAATTTTTCATACAAATACATTTACAATTCGGAAAAAAAGATTATGGTCAGCCATGGGTTGTGATGTTTGCTTCAAAAATGAAACAAAATAAAACAGTCCCCACCTTTCTTCAGCTTCCCCATCCAGCAAATTGGTTATTTGAGGATCCCAGGACACCTACATGCCTGACACCACCAGAAATTCAATAGCTGCAGAGTAAAATCCTGTAGCTGGCAAGGGTTGCACTTCTGACCCTTTTGTATAATTCTCTTGTGTGTGCTTTGCTTTTTTTTTTTTTTTTTTTTTTGACCGGTAAGGGGATCGCAACCCTTGGCTAGGTGTTGTCCGCACCATGCTCAGCCAGTGAGCGCACCAGCCATCCCTATATATGATCCGAACCCACGGCCTCAGTGCTATCAAGCACTGCACTTTCCTGAGTGAGCCACGGGGCTGGCCCTGTGCTTTGCTTTTTAAATGTTTATCTTTTTAAGAAGTAAAATGGGAGTTCCGGTCAAGATGGCAGAACAGACGGTCCCCAGTGTCACTCTCTCCCATAGATCAACCAATTTACAACTATAAAAATATTAACATCAGCCAAGCTGGAGCTCAGGGTAAAAGGAGGAGAGACCTACAGAGTTTATGAAGGCGGGAGCAACCATGATGAGAGAAAGAAAAAACTACTCTGAGCATTTCAGGCCACAGCTGCTTTAATGCTAGAACTGCTGAGTGCATGGAACAGGAGTCAGCAGAAGCTGCAGCTGTGCCCTTCAGATGGAGTTACTTGGAGGCGGCAGGGGAGAAAAGGTCATTGGCAGCCCCCAGGACAGCAAAACCACTAATAGCACTCCTATGGACCCATGCAGGAGCAAGGAGCCAGGACAGCTGAAAAAGGGGAGCCATTCGGAAGCCGGTGAGTCATTGCAAGGGACCAGCATAGGACCCACCCCATGGGAAATGTTTGGAGCATGGGCAGTGGGGGAGACGGGTCCACCGGGAGAACACTGGGACACATCCAGGACAGCCAATCCATTCCCCCAATCACAGGAGAACACTGGGACACAGCAAGGACAGCTGATCCGCCCCCCAATCAGTGCAGAACCACTCAGAGGAGACTGGTCGGGAATGCAGAATTGCAAGGGGTACAGTTTGATGAAAAAATTGAGGCCCAGATCAGAGTTTCTACACAACCCAGGTGCACTGAGTCTCTGGAGAGCCAGAAGTACCTATAAGGTCAACCATTAAACCCTGAGCTGCACACAAAGCCTTCCCTAGGGAAACAGCAGCAAAGCAGCAATTTAACTCAACCACACAGCTCAAGTACTGGTTCCCACAGGAAGTTCCCCCATTTTAGAAATAAGCAAAGGACAAAAAATTAGTTCTGTCCCAGGCACACCACCAGTGCCTTGAGGCCTGCCTGGGAACCGGAGGCTTGAAGCTGGGAACCGAAACCCCCTCCCACAACCAGGCACACTGTGCCAGCACCTTGGGGCCCACCCGGTGACCCGAGGCATGGAGCTGAGGACAAGATGCACCCCACAACCAGGCACACTGCCAGCACCAAGGAACATGCCAAAAACATCACCTCTGTGTGGGTGGCCCACCACAGCCACCACAATAACCATGGCTGCTGCGAAAGCAACTAGACACCACAACCACCATGCAGATGGTCCACCAACCACTGGAGTGCATTGACACAAAGAGAGTCACCAGCAGAGATAAAGAAAAAAGAGGATGTCTCTCTCCACAAAGCCCATTTCAGAGTGACAGAGGAAGCATCCGCACTATAATATTGGGGGACCTGATCACACCTTTCAGCATTGGACAGATCATCTAGGCAACAAATCAACAAAGTAACCATTATCCTTTTAGAAGGAGAGAAGAAGTCTAGAGTAATTAGAGGGGAGAGGGGGGAGTGAGAAGGGGATGGGGGATTAGACAAGGGGCATAAAGAATAATGACGATTTGTAACAATATATATGCTAGTAATATTGATTTGATCAACATATCTCAATGTTGAACCCAAAAAATATGTATGATCGATTTTGATTCAGGGGATGGGGGATTAGACAAGGGGCATAAAGAATAATGACGATTTGTAACAATATATATGCTAGTAATATTGATTTGATCAACATATCTCAATGTTGAACCCAAAAAATATGTATGATCGATTTTGATTCAATAAATGAAATAAATCCCCCCCAAAAAAGTATAATGATACTCAAAGTGGATACCTCAATAAATAAGAGTAGAAGCATACTATTTACAGATATGGAGGTTCCCGCCATCAAAACAGAATCAGAAACTGTTAAAAGCAATTGCCCTGACACTACTGTGGAAGCAGCAGCTCACCATTTTGCTACCCCTAATGAAATGATGGATCTCAGCTAGCAGCTGCCACAAAGAGACGCTGAGAACACACGGCCAGAGGATGACAGGGGACCTTACAGTGGAGGAGTATGCAACTCCCTAAACCCACTGATCAGTCTTAGCATTCAAAGTAGAACGACAGGCTGCATGCCCCATGTTGTAACACATGCACACAGCACCTCAAGGAAGTGTTCTTAACAAAAGCATTGAACATGAACCTAAATAAGTATCAAGAGCTAACTGCTAGGGTACAGGAAATATAAGGCACAGAGAAATGAGTGAAGAATACCACAATGACGTAATCAGCAACCCCTGAATGTGAGACTGTTCGTATAGGACAAACAGCCCACTTTATGCAAAAACTCAATGACATACAGAAAGAAAACGGGGGTGTGGAAGTGCTGTGAGAGAACCAGAGTCCTAAGAAACATAACCAAAGTAATATGTGGACCTTCTTTGGATCTGGTTTCCAACAAACCACCTTCAAAAACATCTTTTCAGACAATTTGGGAAATCGAAATATGGGATGGGTATTAAATGATATTAAGGAATTAGGAAAATAACTATATTTTATGGATGAAATGACATAGTATCTGGGATTTGCTTTAAAATACACAAAAAAAAGTTTTCTGGGTGCATAAGAAGACATAAGAAAAGCATAATGTCAATAATTGATGGGATGGATATCTAGGGATTCCTTATATTCTTCTCTTTACTTTTGTATATGTTTGAAATTGTCCGTGATAAAAAAGCCATCTCTGAGAGGAGAACAGGGAAGGGGAGGACAGAGGCGTGGAGTTGTTGCCCTGTGCTGCTGGGTTTTCTAAGCCAGGTGTGTGGAGTACTTGAATTTAAAGTGTTAATTAAATAGAAATTGTTATTACAAAAGCAACATTATTATTATAAAAAGTTTTTGTTAAAAATGAAAACAAAAGTGGTAAAAGTTTTGGGGGAAAAGTTAAAAACTTTCCCCTCATTTTCACTCTCCAAAGGCAACCCCTGCAAATAGTTTGGATTATATTATTATATTAGTTCCTGCCATACAGCTACAATGATTTGAGCTATATACCTACTTATATATAATAACTATAATATTAGCAAGCAATATCCTAAGAGCTATTAGAATAATAATAGTAATAATAGCTAACATATATTGTGCTCAATACATTCTGGACACTATTTTAGGGATTTCACATATTACTTAACCTTCAATATACCCTATCAGGTAGGTACTATTATCATCCCCAATTTACAGATAAAAATATATATATATGTTTTTATTCATTCATCTATTTTTACCAAAATTATACTACATGTACTGTTCTGAACTTTCTTTTTTCACTTGGAGATATGTCCCTGTCAGAACATATATGTCTTTCTCATTTTTATTTCTTAATAAGAATATTTACATTGGCTTTATTCGGAACCGCCAAAACCTGGAAATAACCCAAGTGTCCAGCAACTGGTGAACAGATAAACAAATTGTCATATATCCATACAATGGAACACTCCTCAACAACCAAAAGGAACAAACCACTGACACATGCAACAACAAAGATGAACCCCAAAAGACACCCTAAGTGAAAGAAGACAGAAACAAATGGGTACATACCCTACGATTCCATTTATGACACTCTTAAAAAGACAGAACTATATAGATAAAAATTAGATCAGTAATTGCCAGGAGCTGGTATTCCATGGTATGTTTCATTGGATCATAATTTCTTTATCCACTTCCCCATTGACAGATATTTCATTTGTCTGCAGTGCTTTACTATTATAGATAATCCTACAGTAAACATCCTTGTTCATCAGGTCATTGTGTGCATGTTTCTCTAGTGCACAAATGAAGCTGCTGCATTTAGAGTGCACATGCATTTTTAATTTTAATGCAAACCACCAAATGTCCTCAGGAAACTGTGGCAACTAACTGTCCCCTGAGCGTGGCAGGAGGGCTGCTTCCTCCCACCCCGGACCCTGGAAGTGTCAGCAAGCTTTCCTCTCTGACTCGAATCTTGATTGCCCATCAGATTGCATGTTCCACAACAAGACAGGATGAGATACAGTATTTGGGTCTAGAGGAAGAGAAACTAGATTTTGAAAAAATGATATCCTCCACATTTTTAGATGCCATTAACAAACAAAACCTAGAAAATTTCATAAGTACCTCAAAAGCCTTCTCCTCCTGTGACATTTGTCCAGGGAGCCCCAGAGGACTGCTGGGGAATGCATCTTCAGAAACTAGTCAGTAGATGAGAAACTGTCCCAAACAGCCCCAAACCACATCCAAATGGCCCAAACCTCTTTGCAGCATGTGGCATCTAGGGCCCCAAAGGAACAGAGCCCACAGAGTTCAGCAAAGAGATAAGTCATGTTCTTCTGCATATAGGCCTCCCCACCCAGAGCCCAGGGGATGCTCTGGAGGTCTGGCCACCCAAAAAAGCTGGCTGTTCCAATGGTCTCATTGTCCAGTCAGAAAAGTGAACCCTCTCACTGATAAAGAGGACTAGAGCTTGCACAGGATTTGGAACTCTGCAGAAGACAGGTTCAAATCGCAGCTCCACTTCTAGGGCCACTAGACAAGTCACTTCTCCTTGGCCTCCATTTGTCTTCTCAGCCATAAAATGAGGAGGATAATACTGAATCCATGTAATTGTACAGTCAAGAGAAACACTCAAGCAAGTGTTGTGGTTAAGAACTCAGGATCTGGAATCTGGTAGGCCTGACTCATAAGTCCATCTCTGACACTTAGCAACTCTGAGATCTCACATAAATCTCAGAGGCTGCTTTCTTCATCTGTAGACAAACATAACGACCCTACCATGGAGATTTTGAGATGATTTAGAAAGATAACGTACATAAAGTATCTAATACAGAGTCAGGCTATGTTTTTATATTTTTGAAATGGATATATATATATATTATATTTTTATTTATTTATTTTTTTAAATCTCAGATCTTTGACCTACAAAATGGAAATAATTCTTTTTCTTATATGAACCTGTTTCAAAGGGCTGAAATAACTTTTACCACTTTGAGGACAAACCCTAACTAACTAATTTCATGACATATAGAGAAGACATGGGTTTCCCTAAACATTCTACATTCTATTCACATGAAAAAGTGATTGTTGTCTGGTTGGTGGGGATGGGAGGTTAAAGCTACTCTGCAGAGATGCAAATCAAAGCCTGGATGGAGGCCTCATTAGCATGTATAAAATGGTTAGATTCGAGGTCCCTGCCCTTCCTATCCATATAGCTGTGAGGCCCAAATGTACTCCCTCCACTGCCAGATGTGATTGGTTCCCTTACCAGGTAAACCGGGTTTCGGTCATTATCCATTGCAGGGATGCCAGTGAGGACCTCGGCTAATACCTGAAAAGAATAGAACATGGAGTTAGCACAGTTCAGACATTCATGCACAAGGTCAGGCAGGAGATTCTGACCAAAAGAGAAGCTTCTTCTCAGTAGCAAAAACTGAGCTCCAGGCCCGGCTCTGTCATTTGCCAGCAGAGACACTCACCCAAAATCTGGGACATGGGAACAGCACTAAACACCTCCTCCAACTAAAGATGTTACCCAGCTGCCAGTGGAAGGTTCTAATTAACTGGCAGCAAGGCAGGGAGGATGGAATCCAAAAGCTCATGCGTGCATATGTATGTGTAGTGTCCTAAGTTTTAATTATTTTTTTATTTTTTTAAGTCTAGTCAAGTGAAGTCGTAGGAATGGAAAAGGAACAAAGAAATCTGTAACTGCAAGTTATATATATATATAAATATATATGCACACGTGCTATTTTTTAAAAATTGTTTCAGTTAAAATCCATCAGCAACAGCAAATAGACATTGCTAGGTCAATCTCAGAAAAAGAAGGAATCCATGCGCAGGCATCTATTTGATACAGAAAGTCTCAGCAATACCTACAGCATGTTTCATCCACAGGCCTTTATTAACATTATTTATTCATTAATTTGTTCTCTCACAAAAGCACAACCCGATACCCGGGTAAGCCACCACGAAATCAACAAACCATGTTATGTGTCTTAATAAATGGAAAACCCGCTTTGAACAGGAATTCTCAGCAGACATAACAGCCTGGTGGTTAAAGGCTCTTCAGTCAGACAGGCCTGTGTTCAAATTCTGACTCTGTTCCTTATGTGTGCAGGCGATCTTTGGGCAAGTAACTAAAATCTGAGCCTCAGTGTCCTCACCTGTTAAATGGGGATCTAGCAGTTGTGAATATTAGAATTAATACCCCACCCTTAGGGTCAAACCTCTCTCCTACAACCTCTCTTGAAGCAAGTTGGAATAAGGTCACATTTACTGCCAAGAATCCCTCCAAATCCCAAGGAAGGAAAGAACAATGGTTTGAGAAGACCCAGGGCCAGCAGAGTTAACAACACAGTGGCAGCAGCCAGGAGTGGGCAGCAGAGGGCACCCCTGCACAAGTGGGTCGGAAGCCAGTTGAAAAGGGACTACCGACCTGGTTGTGACAGGAAGGGAGAGAACAAGGGGAAATGAACAAACATTTCCGCCACCTCTTCCACACCCCAGACTTTGTGCCCAGCCCTTTACGGACGTCATTTAGTGCTCACCAAAAAACACTGAGAAATGCACTGTACTCCCCACAGGAGGAACCAACATTCAAAATCATTCCCATCCATCAGTGGCAGGGCTAAGAAAAGGGGTGGAAGGAGCCAGTGGGCAATCAATAAATGAATGAATGGATGGCGAAGGGATGAACAAATGAGGAAGTCAATACTAACACCAAAAGCTGAGACAGAAAGTCAAGAGTATACAGAAACCAAGAATGATGGCTGAGGGTAGGAATAAAAATAATAACCACAGTAACAGTAATATCCTTGATATGGGTAGTACTGTGCTAACCAGTTTATACACATTATCCCATTAATCTCCATATATATCATTACCCCCATTTTACAGAAGACAAAACTGAGGCCCAGAGACAGAGGTAATGCAGCGTAGGTCACACAGCTGAAAGTAACTGAGCTAGGTCTGGGCCACAGTGCCTAGTGGCCTAGACCTAGGGAGTCCATGGTTCTTAAAGGAGCAAGAGCCTATGCCCGCCCTGCTGAGCTTCACTGAACAACTCCCAGTGGAATGGAGGGGGGCAAGGAAACCAGACACCTGACTGGACTGGGAGGCAGAGGGAAGCGAAATCTAGCATATAGATGTCAAGCTGTGGGCAGAAAGTGGAAGGACAGGAGACCATGGTCAGAGAGAAGTGCAGAGTTTGAGGCTGGAGTGGAAGAGACAGGGTAAGACCCAGGTGCAACTGTTTGCACTTGGCTGAGGCCAACCAGTTGCTTTTCTCGGCCAGCATTTCCCAGGTGGGGTTCTATGGAATATTGATGCTGACAGATACTCTGACAAAACAGGGTTCCATAGTTAGATGAACTTGGAAACACTGCATACCCATTTCTGGTGAATTCACAATTATCAGATCAAAGGCTCATTACCATATTAAAACTCTAATTACTCTGTGGTAAAGAAATTTGCTTGCCTTTGCTTAACCTACTTCCCAAACCTATTTGCCCACAAAACCTTCTTAACACATTAATCCATAGATGTGAAGGAATTGGGGTTCTACAGAAATATAGTCTGGGGACTGCTACACTCAGACCATAAGCGCCTGGGGGATGGAATGTGTTTTAGTTACAGTCATATTCCAAGTGTCTGGGACACAGTAATGACACGGACAGTGGCGTGGTGGGGAGGGATCCTGGATGGATGGATGGATACTGAAGGGATGGGCAGTTGTTGGACAGATGGGTGAATGGATGTTGGATGACTGAGTAGTGGATGAAAAAACAAGGACAAACAGACAACTGGACAGACAGTGGGATGGCTGGACAAAGAATTAGGGAAGTCAGGAGACAATATATGCAGGCTACTAGAAAATGGAACTCATCAGTGGCCTCACTTCAAGGGCTAGCAAACTTCTTCCGTAACAGACCACATAGTAATAAATATTTTAGCCTTTTTGGGCTACATACAGTCTCTGTCACATATTCTTGGCTTTTTTTGTTTGTTTTGTTTTGTCTTTACATAATTCTTTCAAGTGTAAAAACTATTCTTAGCTCACAGGCCATATAAAATAGGCCATGGATTGGGGAAACACTTCAGGAAGTAGGACTGAGCACAGCCTTTATGAATATGACCCCAAAAGCACAGGCAACAAAAGGAAAAATAAACAAATGGGATTATATCAAACTAAAAAGCTTTTGCACAGCAAAAGAAACAATTAACAGAGTGAAAAGGCAACCTACAGAGTGGGAGAAGATATTTGCAAAACATGCATCCAACGAACGATTAATATCCAGAACATACAAGGAACTCAAACAACTTAAGAGTAAAAAAATAAGTAACCCGATTAAAAAATGGGCAAAGGAGCTGAATAGGCATATCTCAAAGAAAGATATAAGAATGGCCAACAGACACGTGAAAAAAATGTTCAGCATCACTCAGCGTCTGGGAAATGCAAATGAAAACCACACTGAGATGTCATCTCACTCCAGTTAGGCTGGCTATTATCAAAAAGACAGAATAACAAATGCTGATGAGGATGCGGGGAAAGGAGAACCTTCCTACACTCTTGGTGGGACTGTAATGATGCAGCCATTATGGAAAACAGTGTGGAAATTCCTCAAACAACTACAGACAGAACCACCATACGACCCAGCTATCGCACACTGCTGGTTATATACCCAAAGGAATGGACATCATCACGTGAAGGGATACCTGTACTCCCATCATTATTGCAGTTCTATCTACAGTAGTCAAAAGTTGGAACCAACCTAAATGTTCCTCATCGGACGAGCGAATAAGGGAAATATGATATATTAACACAATGGAATGCTACTCTGCAGTAAAAAAGAATGAAATTCTGCCATTTGCAGCAACATGGATGAACTGAGAAAATTATGTTAAGTGAAATAAGCCAGGCACAGAAGGAGAAGTACAGCATTTTCTCACTTATATGTGGGAGCTAATGGGCCGGCCCATGGCTCACTCAGTAGAGTGTGGTGCTGATATGTGGGAGCTAATAAAAATAAACAAAACAAAAAAAGATACAACAATCACAATAATTCACTAAACTTTTTAAGAGAAGAGAACAGAACTGAGGTTGCAGGGGATGGGAAAGGGAGAGAGAGAGGGAAAAAAGGAAGGAATTGGTAAAGGGCCATGAAAATCAATTACATTATATAACGATAAATAAAAAAATTTTTTAACAGGCCATGGGCCAGGGTTGGTAGCACCGAGACCGCAGGTTCGGATCCTATATAGGGATGGCCAGTGCACTCACTGGCTGAGCATGGTGCAGACAACACCGTGCCGGGGGTTGTGATCCCCTTACTAGTCAGAAGGAAAAAAAAAAAAAAAGGCCATGGGCCAGATATGGCCTGGGGGCCATAGCCTGCCAGTACCTGCTGCACGTTGATTGGACATATCTATACTCCCTACCACATCCTGTGCTTACAAAGGAACTGTGGAAGGACAGGAAAGTGCAGGCCTGATTCTGAGCAGAGACAGATGCACTTACTATCCCACAGCTGAAGATGTCCACGCGCTCTGTCAGCTGCCCCACCCTGATGAAATCTTCTGGCAGATATGCAGCTGAAGCCTGGAAAAGGTGGGTCTTCATCATGGTGTATTTTGACCTTTTGTTGACAAGACACAGGTGAGCCATTGGATGAGCCAGCTTGGGGATGAAATTTTGGTCCAGCAAAACATTGGAGCTGTGGAAAATCAAGCAGAGAACCCTTCTCATTTTAAGCTGGATATTAAGAGGTTACCACAGAGACCCTTTTAGAAAACAACTTAGCAGTGAGCATGTCAGCCCCTGAAAGTTGGAGGGTCACTGAAGACCCTCAACGTGGAGTTGCTGAACCAGCCTGACAGAGAAAGGGAGGACATCAGGGGCCCACTCCCTCCAGCAAACGGAGATGGAGTTAAGAATTAGTCTTGGGGTGCCAGGAATGTGGCCAAAGAGGTGCAGCCTTCCTGATCCCCACAAATGTCAACCCTGATGGGCTTCAGCTTGCCAATGCCATCGTTATGCTGGCTTGATCTTTGCTAAACTGTTCCAACCCCCAGTTCTGGCCTGCCTGATGCAAATCTAAATGCCAGCATCCTTTGTAACTAACTAAACCTGCCCAGATTTGAGGGAATAAGAAGAGAACAATAAAAATATTTTTGGACCCAGTCATTTAACCCATGGGAGTGAACTCTGAGAAAGTACTCCAAAGGAAAAAAAAGCTAACCCGCATGTGTAAAAATATTCAGTGTAGAACTAATTCCAAACAGTATTTTAAAAAGTAGACACCGATTCCAGCACACACTCTCAGGAGTGGTAAGTAAATGATGGGCAGATCCCTTCAATGGAAGACAAAGAAGCCACTAAATACATGAGGATATGCAATGTGGGGAAATGTTCACCACGTTTCAATGAAGGGGAAAAAACACAATATGAATTGGTAACCAGGCAACTGTGTTACCTTAGGGCTAAGGATTTGTGTGGACAGGGACTGAAAAGAAATAAAAAATAGTGGCCAGCTGATGAGTCAGGGGGTAGGTGAGTGGCGACCTCCCACCCTTTCTTTCCTTTCTTGCTATTACACTCATTGATGCAATGAAATAAAAATTAGGGGAGAGAAAAGACGAAAGGTCTTCCATGTGCCAAATGGTGAGAGAATTTTGGGGAAGTGTGAGTCCAATGGTTCCAAGGCCAGTTCTGCTAGATTTTCCGGTAGCTTCTGGAATCTCTTTCCATGCTGCCAGTCCCCCAGTGGCATGAATAAGATATCAAGAATAAGATATTCTTGGATGCACAGCACTAAGATTCTGGGGTACAGGCCTAACCTGCAGAAAGCCTCCCTGACAAGATGCTATCACCTACAGATATACAAGCAGGGGACGGGTCTCCAAGAAGACCCTGAACGAGGAGCTCAAAATCCCAGGGGGCTCAGCAGACATGGTCCAAAGCTTGAGAATGAGGTCCAAGCCAGCTTCTGAGTGGACAGTGAAAAGCACCAGGGTTTGGAGGGCTTGTTGGGAAAATGGCAGCTCAAGATGAATGTTGTGCCAGGTGGGCAGTTCGTGCTGAGAATGATCACAGGCACAGCACAACCCAGAAACACTGATTTTTGAGGGCATAACAAAGAAAGAAAGAAGATACCAATGGGAGGGGAGAAGAGGAGAGAAAAGCAAAGAGAACAGAGAGAGAGAGGAAGGAGACTCAGGAACAGATTGGTCTCATCCTTGCAGCCCAGGCCCTTGGCAGGCTCTGGCCCAACTCTCTCACCTCTTGATGTTGCTGTGGATGATCTCCAGGCTGTGCAAGTGCTTGACAGCATGAAGCAGCCCTGAGCAGACGCTGATGCGCTGTGGCCATGGGAGGGGGTCAGAGCCACTCTAAGAGAAGGAAAAGAAAGAAGAGAAATAGTCACAACTGTGCCTTTTTAAAGTCCTGATGGCAGGATCCTGGGCTCCTGTGTCCTCCCCGCCCCTCATGTCCTCTGCAACAGAGCTCAGCTGGCATGGTTTACTGGCACGGTACTACGAGTTTTGACATCAGAGAGATCTAGGTGTAAATCCCAGTTCAGACATGCACTAGCTGTGTTACTTCAGAAAAGACATTTAATGTCTCTGAGCCTCGGTTTCCTCGGGTATAAAATGGAAATGTTTTAGGGTCGCTGTAAGGATTCAAGGAAGTATATGGTATGGCCCTGGCATAGTGTCTGCCACACAGTAGGTGCTCAATAAACAGCAATTATTTTTATCATGACTCTTACAGTGGCAGCTCTGGAAGTTCTCTCTAGGAGGGATGGCTGGAAGAGGAGCTAGGGAGTTGGTGTTTGTACACCAAGCACATGGGCCTAATACCAATTTTATGCATATTGGAGGGAAATTCACAAGCACTGCTGGAGATTGTGGGGTGGGCTAAAGCCTCCCCCTTGCTCCCAGGTGCTGCCACTGTTGTTCTAAGACCGAATCCTCCAGGCTAAATCACCATCTATTTTTCAAACCCTGTCTTAGGTCCCCCATCCTCTAAAAACTGGCCTGGACAACCCACTAATAGATTTCCTCTCAAAAACACTGAAATCTGGAGCCAGATGGACCCAATTTAAACCCTGGCCTAACATCTGTCAGTTATGCTCCTTTGGGCAAGCTGCTGTCTCTATGTGCCAGAGACCCCACCTTTGGAAAATAGGGGAAACTTCTTTGGTTGTACAAGGGAGATAACACATGTAAATTCTTTATTTATCACGGTGTCTCACACATAGTGAGAGCACAGAAAAGCTAATGATCATGAGTAAATCATCGAAAACTGCTTTGTCCAGTCCCTGCCAAGGGAAGCAATCTTTCTGTTGTGGAATAACTCTTTCTCCTCTATTTGAGGATTTTGCAAGCAGGTTTGTTTTAAAAATTACATATTCTTAATAGGTATTATATTCACATGATCTAATACTCTAAAGGTAGAAAAGGGCATATAGTAAAAGTTCCCTTCCCATCCTGTGCCCCAGCTACCTAGTTCTCCTCCCCAGAGGCTGCCAATGTACCAGTTTCTTGTGTATCTTTCCAAAGATATTCCATAAATACACAAGCAAATAGGTATATACTGGAATAACATTTACAGCAAATATTCACCTCCACTTTTCTATACTCTACCTCTTAATTCTTTTTCTTATCCAATTGCATTGGCTAACACCTCCAGAACAATGATCAACAAAATTAGTGCTATGGGATACCTCTGTCTTGCTCTTGTCTTGAATGAAATGCCTCTTGTCAGATAATTTTTTTATAGGTTTCCTGAAGATGTTTAGCCAGATCTTATCTATGCTGGCCCAACTTCTCTCCTTGAAGCCTTCCCTTGAATCCCTAACTGGGTGCTGCCTGGTCCTGTTCTCTGACCACGACCCAGTCCCGTACCTGACCATGGAGTATGTCCTGTAAAGAACCATTTGCCATGTAGGGGTAGATCAAGCTGTGAAACTGTCTTCCAGCACAGACGCCCAGCACAGGTAAGATGTTGGGGTGGCAGCATCTGAAATCAGGCACCAGTGCACTGGTGAGGAGTCAGACAGAATGAATAATCAGACTGATCTACTTCCTCACTTCCCACCTCTCTTCTGCACTCTCCACCCCTAGGGCCACTAGTCACCTCCCAGGTACCACATGCTCTGACACCTAAGGCCACAGTACCAGGATAGAAAGATGAAAACTGCCTGCCTTCAAGGAGCTCCAAGTGTAGTGTCCCCATTCTGCTTTACTGCTCTGCAGCATATGACACCTCAACTGCCCCACATCCAGAAACAGAGACTCAAGAGATTAAGGAATTTGTCTTATGTCACAAACTCACTAAGAGTGAAGCCAGGACCAGATTCCAGGGTTGTCTAATGCCAGGGCTGAGGTTCTTCCCCCAAAATACTCTCCCACTGGGTTCTGAGTCACTGTTCCCTCCTGATTCTCCTCCTACCTCTCTTACCACTCTTTTTTGGCCTTTTCCACTAAGACCTTCCTCCTTTGCTTTCCACTGAAACAAAGCTCCTTATCTCGCTCTGTTTGCTGCTGCTTCTCCAGGTACCTCCTACTGTTGTGAGGGACACTCCCAAATCTCTTACCTCCAGGCCGACCCTCAGCTCCAACCCTGAATGTCCAGTTGCATCCCAGGGCTCAGGTGACCATTATCCTAGATTCAACAAGTTGCAAACCTCCTTCTCTGCCTATATTTATTATCTCGGCAAAGAGTACCACCACCCATCCAGTTTCCTAGAAGCCTCCATACCTCCCACATCTAATTAGTCACCATTCACTGTCATAAACAGCTTTCAAAATGTCCCCTTCATTCTCCTTCCCTCTTCCTTGAGTCAGACCCCCAACCAATCTCCCCAGGACTATTGGAAGTGGACTCCTGCCTAATCTCTCTGCCCTCCTCCATGACCCCCAAGCCACCCTACTTCACAATTCCCATACTCAGTTATTTTCATGTCAGTCTCCCCACTGCACCATGAACTTCTTCAAGGCAGGGCCTGTGTATGCTTCAAGTCTGCACCCCAAGAGCCTGGGAAAGGGCTTGACTACTCACATTTTTTGAATCAATGAAAGAGTGACTGCCAACTCCACTATGCCAAAGTAGAAAAGGAATTATACTTGTACTTCCAAATTCGATTAAGTGTGTGTGTATATATGTGTTTATGTACACATGTACTCATGCACATGTATGAATAGAGAAAGTATTAAAGAAAATATATAAAAATATTAATATAGTAGTGGTTATTTATAGGTGCTATGGAAAACAAGTGATTTCTATTTTCTTATATTATCTTCACTTCTTAAAATACTCTACAATAATCATGCAGCAGTTACCCAAGGTTGCACATCAGCAGAGGAAGCCTAGACAGAGACTTGCCAAGGAGAAATGACAGCTGGTGTCCAGCACACGACAAGTGCTTCATATGCATTTTTAAGTTCATCAGTCAGTGATAATAGAGCCAGCACAAGTCCCCAGGTCTCCAAACAGTCCTTCCTTCTCTTTCCCAGTCCATACCCACGTCTTTGACTGGAATGCTCACTTCACTTGTCCGGCCTCAGTTTCCCCATTTGTAAAACAAGCAGACTTGAGAAAAACTTTTGAAGGCCCTTATTGTGCTAGATTAGGGATCAGCACACTTTTTCTGTAAAGGGCTGGTTAGACTTTGCAGTCATGTGATCTCTGTCGCCACTACTCAGCTGTGTGCTATGGCAGAAAAGCAGCCATTGACAACAGGGAGATGAATGAGCAATGGTTGTGTTCCAGTAAAACTTTATCATGAACACTGAAATCTGAATTTCATATAATTTTCATGTGTCATGGAATATTAATCTTCTTCTTTTTTTTTTATTTATTTATTTTTATTTTTTTTTTTGTCTTTTTTTTTTTTTTTCTTTTTTTTTTTTTGTCTTTTTTTTTTTTTGTCTTTTTTTTTTTTTGTCTTTTTTTTTTTTTGTCTTTTTTTTTTTTTGTCTTTTTTTTTTTTTGTCTTTTTTTTTTTTTGTCTTTTTTTTTTTTTGTCTTTTTTTTTTTTTGTCTTTTTTTTTTTTTGTCTTTTTTTTTTTTTGTCTTTTTTTTTTTTTGTCTTTTTTTTTTTTTGTCTTTTTTTTTTTTTGTCTTTTTTTTTTTTTGTCTTTTTTTTTTTTTGTCTTTTTTTTTTTTTGTCTTTTTCCGTGTCCGGCAACGGATCGCAACCCTCAGTGTTGCCCCCGTACCGGACCGGGGACCGGCAACGGGATCGCAACCCTTGGTGTTGCTCCTGCGCCTCGCTCAGCCAGTGAGCGGGAAGCGGTCTGTATGTGGGATCCGAACCCTCGGACGAGAGCGCCGCCGCGCTTCCCAAGCGGCGCACTATCCAGTGCGCCACCGGGCCGGCCCCATCTTCTTTTTATTTTTTTCAAGTATTTAAAAATGTAAAAACCGGATTCGGTTTCCCAAACTGGCCAGATGCAAAAAGTAAAAAAACAAAAAATAATTAAAAAATAAATAAAAATATAAAAACCATTCTTAGCTCTCAGGCTGTACAAACACAGGTGGGGCCAGATTTAGCCCCATTGGGTCCTCATTTGCCAACCCCTGCTCTGAGAGGACTAAGATTTTAAGATGGATTTGCCATTAGAGTTGGAATCAATAAGTCTCTGTCTATCTCAAAAAATGGTATAGAAAAAGATTTCTTCCCCTTTGGAAGGAAGGAGTTGGAGTGAGCCAAGATTCCTTTTTAGTTCTAATCTATACATATAATTGCTACACTGAAAAAGTATGGACTCTGGAGCCAGACCATGTAGGCTAAAATCCAGCTCTGCCACATACTAGCTGTGTGATCTTAGATGAGACACTTAACCTCTCTGTCCCTCAATTTTTCCATCTGTAGAACAACGTGAGAATAGTAGCTAACATTATAGAGTTCTTATGAGAATTAAATGAGTTTACATACAATCAAGTACTTAAAATATGCCCGGCACATAGGAAGCACTACGTAACGCTTACCTATCATTATTATTAAACAAAGTGTTTTCCAAAGGGGAGGCTTACCTAAGACAGATTTGTACCTCCACCTGGAAGAATTTTTCGATTGATCCTGGACTTGAGCAGGCTGTCTGTGGAAAAAGACATTGGAACATAAAGATCTAGCCTCACCTGTGCAGCCTCCGCCCCTCTTAGAAACCAAGAAGTGCTTGCCTCTCTGAGCTTCTTGAAGACAAATGGTGTCCCGTGCCTTTGCCCTCTGTAGATGTCAGCAAAGGTCCCCTCGCTGATTTTGTGGTTTTGGTTGAAGTAATCAGTTGCCTGGACCACATCTGCCTCGCTCCAGAAAAGGCCTTCTCCAGCCAGGCTCAAAAGTTTTTCCTGCTTAGGAATGGAGGTGCTGAAATCCTGGGAGTTCAGAGAGAAGAGACAAAGTTTACTAAGGAAGTTCGCTTTCCCTGCTACTTCAGGGGGTCTTGGAATACCAGAGTTAAAGGGGTGGGGGGAAACATCTTATCAAGTGAGGAAAGGTAAAAAGGACATGGACAGACCAGAGCTCAAATCCCAGCTCCACCTCTAACTTGCTCTGTGACCCTGGGTGAGTTCTTTAGCCTGAGCCACAATTTCCTCATCAGCAAAATGAAGATAACAATAGTACCCTGGCAGGTAATTTTGAAGATATGAGTATTACTGGCACATGGCTGATGTCTCCTTTTTATTGACGTCTTCTTTTTTTCAGTTTACAGAGGTGAGCACCTAGGGGGTCAAAGAGCTGAGGTGGGGTAACACAGTTGGTCAATGTCCGAGCTCTGTGTCCTCAGTCCTGTACATAGCATAGATGCTGGGCCTCTAGATTCCTGGGAAGTAGGATATAGGTTCATATAAACACAATTCTCAGAGCTTTGGAGACTGCATGTTATGTAAGCCTATGAAAAGCAGCTCTGCTTCAATAACTTCCCTTTTTAAAAAGATGTATATAAATTTAAATTTTATGCTCTTATTAACAGTTTTAGAAAATTAGGGGGGAAAAATCACCCATAATGCCATTATCCACTTAATTGCTATTACAGTTTACTGTATCTCCTGCCAGTTAGATATATTAGTATTTATTTAACAAAATTGGGATCATGCTGCACACACAGTTTGATTTCTAGTGTTTTCACTTAACATTATACCATGATCATTCTCCCAAGTTATTAAATTACCTTTGAAAATGATTAATCATTAAAAACAAAAAACCCTGCTCAAGAAAGTTTTCTTTATGGAAAATCTTCATTAACCAGACCCACGCAGAGCTGGCTTCTCCCTGCCAGACACCAGATGCACAATGTCTGGAGCTCATAACACTTTTGGGGGCCCTGAAAACATTTTAATTTCTTTTAAAATCACAGGAAAATAGGAGTTGGCTGGTTAGCTCACATGCTGGTTAGAGCACGGTGCTGGTAACACCAAGATCAAGGGCTCAGATCCCCATACTAGCCAGCTGCCATAACTAAATAAATCAAATAATCACAAGAAAATAAATGAACTTTTAGAGGCAAAAAAAATGTTTTCATTTTTAGTGCAGCTTTCATTATATTCATCTTCGTACCAATGCAGTCATAAAATATAATTGTGGGGGCCAGCCCGGTGGCACACTGGATAGTGCGCCGCTTGGGAGGCGCGGCAGCGCTCCCGCCCGAGGGTTCGGATCCCACATACAGACCGGTTCCCGCTCACTGGCTGAGCGAGGCGCGGGAGCAACACCCAGGGTTGCAATCCCGTTGCCGGTCCCCGGTCCGGTACGGGGGCAACACTGAGGGTTGCGATCCGTTGCCGGACACGGAAAAAGACAAAA